TGACAAGCAGTGCGTCGGTGCGTGCCCGGGATCCAAACCGGTGAACCCCAGGCCACCACAGCAGAGCCCGCGCACCTAACTGCTTGCGCCACCGGGCTGGCCCCGAGGTGAAGTTTTAGACGGGACTGAATTTGAAAAACTGAGCTACCGGAAAGTCCTGGAATCTGCTGGTAACTCCATTGATAGGAAAGAGGGGATTCAGTGGAGCAGGGCTGAGAAGCAGTGATGGGGGAGGGCTGGCGGACAGAGCGACTGTCTCTCCCCTTTCTGAACGGAGACTCTGGAAAAGCTTGGTTAATAAATTCTGCAGAGTCAAGGCAGATCGGGCTTCATCTGAGCTGTTGACCACGGTTAGGAGCCAGGCTGGTATTGAAGGTCTTCTTGTATTGAAGAATTGAGGATTGACCAGAAACTTTTTTCTACAAAGAATATAATTTGTTGTACTCTCTCTTTTTTTTTTTTTTTTTTTTGTGTGTGGGGGGGAGAAAGATCAGCCCTGAGCTAACATCTATGCCAAGAGGAAGACTGGCCCTGAGCTAACATCTGTGCTGATCTTCCTCCACTTTATGTGGGAGGCCGCCACAGCATGGCCTGACAAGCAGTGCATTGGTGCGCGCCAGGGATCCGAACCCTGGCTGCCAGCAGCGGAGCGCGCGCACTTAACCGCTACGCCACGGGGCCGGCCCTAATTTGTTGTACTCTTAAGTGCTTTGGACCCAACATGACTAAATACTTTTAGAAAAATTTGGAAAGCCAATCTAGAGAAGTCAGTGTTTTGATTCATATTGTCTTCTCAGACTGGTGAATGTGTTGGTTCATGGAGAAAGAAAAAGAAGTGGGCTGAAAGATACTTTAAAATTCTGTATGAATTTGGACATTTTAGTTTAATATCAGAACTTGTTTTCTTCTAATTAAGAGTATTTTAGTGAATATGTATCCAGCACAGCTTGATTTAAAATATCCTTTGGACATTTTTCATCCAAGATTTTTTCCTAGTAGGGGCTTACCTACTGACTAGTAACTTTCTACCATGGTTCACAGTTTGCAGTGTTGTCCCATTTTTCAGTTGTTTCCTGTGACGCCGTGAGGCAGCGTCATCCCAGTCTTGTAGAAGGGGCGCCTGAGCCTTTGAGGGCCTTGGCTGGTGCCCCGGCCATGGTCTAGAAGGCCGGGGCCTTTTCCCCACTCCTGCCACAGGCGCAGTGTGCAACATACAGGAAAGTGACTGTGGTGGTGTGTGGCTTGCCACCCTCCAAGGTCACCGACTTCTGTCAGTAGGACCTGTGCTTTGTCAGGCCAGCGTACCGTCTTGTAGGTCATGGGATCAGTGACAGATCTGGAGGACAGTTGGCCAGAGTAGGAGTGCCTCTGACGTGGGGACAAAGCAGAGGTGGTTGACCGTGTCATGTTTGAACATGTTGACTTTCTGATGAAAGAATTTACCCAGAAGCTCTACTTTTTCAGTGACATGGCGTCATGTTATTGAACGTCAATAGATTTCAGATATTTCTTTATCTTACTCTGTGGCATGTAAGTTTTCCACTGTTTTACTTTTTAAGCATGTAATTATTGTGATAGATAAGAGTAATTTATTTTGTGTGACTAGACGTGGTAGTTATTTTTGAACTTGTCTTTATATAAACACTCCCCATTATATCCCATTTTCTTTTCTTTTTTTTTTTTTTT